TTCCTGGCCGCACGTCCGTCAGGGGAGGCAGGGTAGGCCCGGGCGAGGTTGCGCCACGCGTGCGGCAGGCTCGGTTGCCGGGTCGGCGCGGCGAGGCCCCAGCGGCGGGCGTCCAGGGTGGAGGGCCGCCAGTCGCCTGGAGCCTGTCGATCTCGAACCACCTGCGCAGAGGGCACGCCGTGATCGTGCAGGGTGGACTGGTCCACGCGGTGTCAGGAACCCTCGCCGACCTCGTCGCGCCACGAACTTTTGCCGTGTTTGTGTGTGTGTGGCCGTTGTGACTTTGCTGCTGTGTGGCAAACACGGGGGGGGGGGCACACGGGAGGGGGGGAACACGCCAAAGGCGTGAGCCACACGAGGAGGGCCAGGAGCGCGCCTCCTCCTCTTCCGCCTCCTCCTCCTCCTTCCTCCTCCTCCTCCTCCTCCTCGTCCTCGTCCTCCTCCTCGTACTCCTCCTCCTCCTCCTCCTCCTCCTCCTCCTCCTCCTCCTCCTCCTCCTCCTCCTCCTCCTCCTCCTCCTCCTCCTCCTCCTCCCCCGGCGGGCTGCGTATTCTTCCTGCTGCTCCTGCCCCTGCCCCAGCTCTCCGTCGTCCTCGTCGTCACCCTTCCCCTCCCCATGCCCCTCCTCGCTCTCCTCCTTATTCCCCCCCCATATCCTCGGCCCTCTGCTCCTCATCCCCTCGTCGCCCATTTCCCTCCCCCCCATTCTCCTCCCCCCCCCCGTTCCCCCTTGCCCTCGACGCGGTGGCCGTGCGCTCTCCCTCTTCTTCCTGCCGCCGCTCCTCCGGGAGCCTGCCAGCCCCCCCCCCCCCCTTCGAGCCTCCCGAGCCCCGGCTCGTCCCCCTCCTTTCCCTCCCTCCCGGCGAGGCTCGTGCGAGGCAGCTGCGCAGGCACCTTCGGGCCCTCCTCGTCGTCCTCCTCGCTCCTCCTCGTCGTCCTCGTCCTCCTCGTGCGCGTCGTGCTCCTCCTCCTCGTCCTCGTCGTCCTCCTCGTTGTCATCGTCTTCCTTCCCCTCCTCGTCCTCCTCCTCCTCCTCCTCCTCCTCCTCCTCCTCCTCCTCCTCCTCCTCCTCCTCCCCCGCTGACGCGCCGGGGAGACCGGCAACCCGAGGAGCAGCTGACCCTCCTCATGGCCCCGGGCGCCAGGAGTGTGGAGTTCGAAAGAGAGAGAGAGAGAGAGAGAGAGGAAGAAAGAAGGAAAGAGAGAGAGAGAGGCAGACCCCCTCAAGTAATGACAAACTCATGACGGGAGGTTTTTCTACATTTTCGGCCATTGGGGACCCATACTGGGCCGCGCGACCGTCAAAAAACGACTCAGGAGTCGAGACCCCTGGGGGTCGACGTCATGAAAAAACATGACGTCGGGGGTCTGGGGACGCACCCAGTCCCCCCCCCTCGGACGGGGCTAGGACAAGGATAGATCCGTTCCAGAGCGTTCCGGAACGCTCTCAGAGCGTCTCGGAACGCTCTGAGAAGGCCGCGGCGCCCGATGCATCCTCCAGTTCTGTCGGATCGCAGAGATTCTCGATGTATCCGTACCCGATTTTATCTTCGTCCTAGCTTCTCTGTCTCGCCATCTTCCTAGTCGGGGCTTCGACCATCCGCCCTTAATCCGAGAGAGAGAGAGAGCAGGAGGAGGCGGACGAGGAGGAGGAGAGGGAAGGGGAAAGAGGGAGGATGCAGACGAGGAGGAGGAGGAGGAGAAGGAGAAGGAGGAGGACAGGGGTAGTCAAACCCAGTATGCGTCAACGACTTCTGCAACACACCCTCACGTCCCAAGATCTCTTCCTCGCAACTCCCTACAGGCATCCCGTTCCACGATGGGAAGTTCCCCCAGCTGAAAGGCGAGCACCCGATGGGGCTACCACTCACCTCGAGAGCCCCACGCTGAAAAAGATCAACTATCTATTTCTCTCGGTATGTACAAGAGTAGCCGGATCCAAGTTGATTCTGTATGTGTGCGAACTCCAACAGCGCGCATGAAAGCAACAGCACGCATTCGATTGACACAGGTGCAGACGTCGAACGCGCCAGAACTCTCCAGAACGAACCGTTGGAACATAGAGAATCCAAGGCGTCTCCTGTAAAGCGATACGATCAGGATCGATCGATCAGTTTGTCGTGCCGCCGGTTCTGGTCGCCCACGCTTCGGGGCGACACGCGAACTAAGTCCTGGTCCTCAGGCGTCAACGCCTCGCTCCGCGAAGCGGAGCAACACGCTGTCTCCCGCAGGCCATACATACCCAATCGCCGGGGCCCGCTGAGACACGCTAAGCAACAGCTCCTGGCCGTATGTAGTTCTGGGCCCCTCGCCAGAACGGCGAAATGCTTGTTTTCATTCACATGTTCGCGCGCATTGTTGCGTGCCATCTTGACAGCGAGGCTGTGCAAGACCCTTTCCGAAGCCGCTCGGTGCCAGGGTGCTTGGTGTCACATTGTTGATGCAGCTGGCTGGACGGTGGCACCGTGCAGGGCGGCCCCCCGAAGACGCTGGGAGCGAG